TTTACTTAAGCTAGAGGATGCTTGAAGTAAGAATTAGGTTGAAGAGTGATACGCGCACACTACAAAGAGAAGAAACACTTCTATTTATACCCAGTGCATTAAATGAACATTTAATGCAATATGGTAGGTTTAGAGTGTGTGTCAAGCCTTAAGAGGAAGGCTTGTCCTTTGCTACAGTGAATAGTACAAAAGCACTATTCTTGAGCAGACATCCTTGCCTAAAGTTGGTGGACAAAGAGTCGACTAATCGGCTACGTACCGTACTAACTTTTGCAAGGGTATGGGTTTGTCCTTTGTGTGCATAAAGACAAGACAACAACTATCGTGCTAAGCAAACTTCTTTTGATCGCTGAATGTTGGGATGACCTGGAGGTCTCATCATCATTCGCTGAAGCTAGAGCAGTCTTCACACATATGTAGACAGGTTTGTAATCACTGAATACCGCTTCAGATCACGTACTCGCCAGTCTTTAATMTTCAGTTTCAGTCTTTGACGTTCGCTGAAGGTTCTTTGGTGTGAGTGTTGTCTTCTTGAAGTATTGTTGTCTCTGATGAATTTACAATGCAAGTTCTTCAGCGATCACTAAACATACTCAGTGATGATCGCTGGAACTGAAAATACAGAAACACAAATACGACATGAAAGGAAAAAGGGATTATCATCAAATCACTGAGAGAGATGATCAACAAAGTTGTAGAATGTGCTTATGATATTGTACTTAAGATTTTAAGACTTTGTGCATCAAAATGTAGTACCTTATCCATTTAAGGTTGTTTTTAAGACTTTTCTCAAATTTGATTTATAAGGTAGTATATAATAGATTGTTGTGGCTGCCAATATAATCACATCCATTATTTCATCTAATCTAATGGTTAAGGTGTTTTTGAGTTCTCATTTATTTATAGTTTCCCCCTTAACCTCGCTCTCTCTCTATATAAATATAATTAAATGAGAACCACTAATTATGTGTTGTTTTATATGTGAAATACTGTAATGTATATGAAATTTTATTACAATGTTTTTCATAATGTAAATAAAAAATAGACACTAAAAATAATGACATTGTGAAACAACATTGTATTTACACATGCATTCCAATGTAAAATAATACATGATTAGTGGTTGTCGTGGTTCTCAACCTTTTTCTATTTCTAATTTGATTAGTCCCCATATATATAGCACACCACATAAAAACCTTAAATATGTAACAATTTTCATGTGTAGTTTCACATATAAAATAACACATGTGGAACATGTATTGGGGCATACAATGTAGTTTCATACATGAAACGTTCGTGACTATTTTACGAATAAAAAAAAAGCATGAAAATACATTTATATATGAAATACATGCATATTCTTCCATACTCAAAAATAAAATATATGAAACAATATGAATAATAACTTAAAATCAAATGAATTAAATGGTTTGAAATGGTATTCACACATTTGTAACATATTTATGGTATTTAT